AGTTCTCTATAAAAAAGTACAAAGAACCCGGTATACCAGTTGTTCTACTGGAGTTAATTTCTTTAAGATTTAAAAAAAGGTCTTTGGAACTTGTGGGCCTTAGTATAGGGGCACTGTAAGGCTGTTTGCTGTTTGATGACTGAGTCCTACCTATATGGTTGTTGACTGACACTTGATCACAGATCAGAGGCACAGGGAACCCTCCCAAGGAGTCCATGACATGACAGAATTCACGGAATTGCGGTCAACACCATGACGACGGCCTTCATTCGTGAATAACTTGGATAACTTTTCCCGATTTTCTGTATCTGCTAACAGCAGACATATACAGCATTCCCTAGGTTTGCTGTATCAGCCCAAATGGGAAATGACAAATGTTTACAGCCTGCTATATTTCATAAAATGTAACCCGAGCAACGTTAGGAAAGTGTTTTCAAAATACTTCCCAACACTCTTTGTCAAACTAGTGTGCATTCACCAACAACCAGAGTGACCCTTTGCTTTGCTAGACCGGGCCACCTTCCCTGCGCCTGTACTCCTTTGGGTCCCTGGCCCAGCGCCCGTTTCACGATCATCATTATTTGTGTGCTTGGTGAGGGAACATTCCTGCCCTTCCTGGGTTTAAAGAAACAAGAAATGGTGTGAACATATAAGAAATAGGTGACTTCTTCATAAGCCAAGTGAGAAAATGACTGTCAGGTGGTGTTGATTTTCGGAGGCTTTTAAAAACATAAGACTCTCACTTTCCTCTTCAGTCGAGAGAAAACAAATTCCGGCAAAAAAAATCGAATTTCTCTTGCTAAGTGGAATCAGGTGGGGGCTGCATTGTTAGCGGTTTCTGAGGCTTCCCTCCATCCCCGGCTGCCGTAGTGCTCAGCAACAAGCCACGGAGGAAGGTGGGTGGGGACCCGCTGGCTTCCAGGGTGGATGGATGGTTTTGGCTCAGCTACTTCCACACAGGGAGGGGCGGGGGGCTTCTAGCAGCTGTGAGGGTGCTGCTGGCTGGGCGATGTGTTTTTTTTAAGAGGACTAGACTGTGTCCCTGGCAACAAACTCATTTTCAAGGACCAGCAGGCGGTGACTTTCATCTGCACCAATGGGACGCCCCTGGAGATGGCAACAGCTTCCTTCCCAAGGCGCCCTCTCCTCCGTCTGCAAGCCGCCTTCCAGCCGCACTCAAACCCAGCCCTTCTCTCGGCTCCTTACCCACCTCAGCCTCCGGGGACCTCTTGCTTCTCAGAACACTAACAGGAGGTCCTCTCAGTGTCTGCACCCTCATTTCCAGCAAGTCGCCAGGCTCTGCTAAGAACCGCAGCTCAGAGAGGTGCTGGCTTGCGTTGATCTTGGTCTTTCATTGTCTTTCAACCAAGCGTCTCAAGTCATTTCCAGAGAGCTCTTAACCTTCTGATTTTCTACCACAATTCCTCGTAAGAAAGCCTCGTAAGAAAAGACAGGTGGTGATTCTGCATGAACTTGGACCAGGTCATGAGGATAAGAGAGAACCAGACGCGTTGAAGAGCATCCATTTCGGTTCCTAGGATCTCGTATCAACCTTTGAAGTTAGTTCTTGCCTTCTGTGAACTTCATTAACCTCTACGGGCAGCACTCCAGATCTTTCCATTCAAACCAAACACCCGGTGGCTTTAGATGAGATGTCAATGGCCAGCAGCCTCAGGGGGAGTCCTACCGTGGGCAGCGGCCACCTTCCAAGAGAAACTAATGCAGGGCGGTTTGATGACCTTTTGGGGTCACAGACTGATACACCCGGTGGAGGCTCAGATTGTGCTAGATTCTGCTGGGGCCCCTGACCTCCAGGGGCCCTGGCGATTCGGGCAGAGCCCAGGGGCTGGAACTTCCTAGAGTCCCCCCGGTCACCTGACCCCGTAAGGTGTCCTCCTCATGCCAGCCTCCACCAGGGCTGCTCGTGGCAGTGCCATGGAATTTCACACCGGCTGTGGCCAGTTCTGTAACCATCACCCACATGCCTTATTCTTTTAGCAATGACTATTTTGGGCTGCAAAACCTTTCAAGCATGAGCCTTTATCTAAATTCAGTGCACAGGCTGTGTCACGGTAACACCTCACTGTCTGTCCTCAAGCCTGCTGTCCCTCGGGCCCCGCAGACAGAGCACTTTCTTTGAAAACTTTGTCACTCGTTTGGGAAGAATTCGAGCCAGCTGGGATGTGAGTATGTTTCCTAGAGAAATCTGAATGACTTGGAAATGTGTTGGCTGCTTCCCGGAAAGCCCGAGCCTGCTGCTGGCTTAACACAGGCGGGTGGCGTGGGCTCGGGCACAAATGGTTGACAACCTGTGCGCTTCATTCCCTTCGGGGGCTCTGCTGGGGACCCGTCCTGCTGCGGCTCCATTCTGGGCATGGCGACTGGCTCTTCTGTTTCTTAGGCTCTTTCTATAAACTGGTCCCTTTTCTATCAGATCCAATTGAGGTGACCCGGTGAGGACATGTCCCCAAAATGTGCTCTGAATATGCTGGAGCCCCCTGGAGTTCTGCTCTTTCTGCATCTGACCTGTTCCCTGCTCATTCCTTCTGCCCAGCAGGGCTTCCCAGGACAGATGAGGCCCCTCACCTCAAAGCCCCCTCAGTGATTGTGTCCCATGGACTTCAGGCAAACAGCCAGGATAAAATTGAGGAGGCACTTAGCTGGGAGATGCTCCTGGGGAGCAAGGAGAAGCAGAGCAGCCCCCGGAGGGAGCGGAACAGCTTCCGTTTGGGACGCTCTCTCCGTTGCGGAGCCTGGCTCCTCCGAGGATGCGCACGATGGTGTCCCGCCACAGAAGGGCTCCTCAGGCTGGTCCCAGGGACAGACGGAAGAAACTCTGCAGCCTCTAGAAGTTGTGTGCTGAGCGCTCCGGGGGACGGTTTGTCTCGTGAAGTCTGTAGGTGAGGGACAAATGTGCAGGTCCTTCCGGGGGACAGCGTGCGCCTGGTGTGTCCACGCAGGTGCATCGGCAAGGGCACCCCCCACCGTCCGCCTCCCCCGAGTCACTCACAGCAACGGGGGGCTGTGATCGCACGACGTCTGCTCACACTGTCCGCTCTGGAGTCGAACACTCCCGCGCCCCCCGGAGGAAGGGTGGCTCAGGAGGCAGAAGAGAAGGTGGCGTGAAGAAGCTAACAGACAGTCTCATTTCGAACGTAATCCCCCAAAGCTTTTGTTTGCAGGTAGAATCAAATATTTATACAGATAGAGAAGCCTAATGAATCATGTAACGTAGCCATTCATTTCTGAAATTAGATCTACGTTAAAAAATGAGTATGTCCGACACAGTGCCAACGCGCGGGGTGCGCGCGGGGCGGGCGCGGGGGCCGGGACGCGGGGCAGCACAGGACTCAGCGAACACTTAATCATAGAAGCAGATGGGAAACAAGAGCCTTCACGAATAGAGCACAATTGTCTTATAAAATTATCTTAATACTCTCCTTATACTTGATGCGATTATATCGGTGATATGGATTCACTTGTTATTAAGGTTTATTATAAACATGCAAAATCCATTGCATGAGGCATCTGCAAAACGTATTAAAACCCTTCTCGCAATGAAACCTCTCTGGGCTGATGTGTTCCTGATTCTACAGCTCCAGGTGGGTCGCTCGACATGAGCCAGAAGTGGGGACCAAAACCGCATTGTTTTTCATCCCTAAGGGGACGTCGAGGGCCAGAGGCAGGAGGGAAATCTGCCAGCAGGGACTGAGTGTAGAGTCAACACTTGAAGTTACTGTACATCGTACTCTCATAATCAACACCGCAGCCTGCTCAATAAATAAGTACAAAAGGGGGGGGGCGTACACGCGAGCTTCGTAGGAAGTAGGTAGCAAAATACCGAGGGGGGTGTGGAGGGGGGGTTGGCTAACAACACTGGTGAGTAGTGGCATTGCTGATGGCACCCTGGATCGCAGAGTCATCTCCCAGAGATGAACACGGACGCGCACACGCCCTGTCGTCCTTGATCTGAAACAGCGTCACGAGCTCCTTTAGCAAAGTCCTTAGAAGGTTTGGCCTCTTACAAACAAACGAATGCAAGGATCACGACAGGGATCCATCAAGTAGGGTACAAGAGGACAGATCCACGGAACACCCGTCTGAGGTTTTCTTTCTTTTTTTTTTTTAAACTGGTACCCGCCGGACCATGATCGGGTTATGACTGTCCAAGTCTGGGAACAGGGACGGCGCCGATGACGCCCCGGCCTGGCAGATTCTGTCGGCTGTTTTCGTGGAGGCAGAGGAGAGAAGCGGAAGGTACCCTGCAGCCTGCCGGCCCCCAGCCCTGCCCGCCCCACTCTCTGCTCTCTGGGCTCCCTGTCCTTTCATTCCAAAGGCGCCTGGGTGGAGATGTGTCCAGCCCACATCTTGGGGTGGGGGTGGGGGTCCTGATGGTAAAAACTGACAGAGGGAAGGGGAGACATATCAAATCGTACCAAAAAAGGGGCAAGAGTCTGTTTGCTTCCTAGGAAGGGTGGATCTACAGCCAGAGGTGACCTCTACGGCGTTAAACCGGACACGGAACATTGCATCGCCTTCCGCTAAGATAATGTCCTTGGTTGTGAGAGAGAGGAGACCCTGAACGGTTGGTCACGTTTGGATTAATAACCGTACGACTGTCAGGCCCCCACGTGGAACAAGAAACAAGGCCTTGGCCTCGAAATGTTAGGGTTAAGGGTCATTTC